ACTAGCATTAAGTCTCCTTTCCCACTGCCAGGCAAAAAAGGATTTGTCCTGAATGATCTCACAGTTGGAAATGGGGTGCTTATAACCAAAGAATTGCCCATTCCTGGGATATTTTTGTACAGATGTGAAGCCAAAAAACCCCCCTTGGAATCCTGGTGCCCTGCTAAAAGCCGTGGTCCAAAGAAATGGCAAGACTAAATTAAAAAAGAAATTTGGTTACACAAAATTTAAAATTAAATACGATTAACACACTTATTCCTATTTTGTTTCTGTTGTATTCCAAGAAAATTCATCAGCAATTTTTGAAAGAGCTTTGAGTGGGCTTTACAGGTTATGCATTCCTTACATAGCATATCTAGACTTCACTTCTCTTATTTTAAGAAATCAAAACATTATTTTATTTATAATTATTGTTATTGATTTAAGAGTAACTTGTGAGTTGTCCATTTTTGCTGATGATAATAAAATATTCAAGTTGGTGAAAACAAAAAGTGTTTGTGATTCAGAAGGATCTCTTTGAAAAAAATGAATGATCGATGAAATGGTAAACATGGTTTGATTTAAGAACACGTAGAATGGTTAACACCAATTAATTAGTGATTCAACAATGATTAATCATATTATATGATATATGAAATGTGATTTGTGTATAACTAATCAGAAAAAAAGAGTTGAGGGCCATAATAGCTTTGTGAAGGTGTCAAAAAAGTGTGTAGAGCTGTGAAAAACATAAATTTTAGAATTCATATTGAAAAAAGATTGAAAATTGCCAGCATTGTAATACTTCTCTTATAGAAATGTTTGGTGTGTCTTCATCTGGAAGAGCTTTCTCATTCACTGATGTAGTGCTACCCACTAATTTAGGTGGTTTTAAGGCCAACTTTTAAATTACTTAAATTCATGAGGGTAGGTCTTTCAAGGGTTATTAGTCTTGAAAACTCAATATTAACTCAGAGTTAATTTGGTGCCTCAAAATGCCAGTTGCAGATGAAAATGAACTATGTTTCTGTCTCCCTTTTGTGTTTCTCCTCTACTTCATCAATATGAGAAAAAAGTGCTGGGACATTGGTATGATTCTGCTATACTTACATTCCTCTAAAAAATTAACATTTGTATCAGGGGATGTACTATATGCATTTAGATAAAATTAGAAAATTAGCAGAATGTAAGATTTTAGTTAAGCTCTGCTTATTATCATTTACTAATGCTTGAAATGACTTTTTGCTGTTTCCTGAAAAACCTTCTTCTAATCAGCTGAACGAATGAATGGTTGGCATATTATACTTACATGAATAGTAAAGAATTAAGGCCACTTTAGAGGAAATACTGCAGATGCTTAATCCTATTCACATTCACCCAAGAACAAGCATAACTTAATATTATATTAATAACTTAATACTTAATATTATTACTTTTGATTAAATGTAGTATAAATGACATATTCATATAGAACAGACATGTCAAACACAAGGCCCGTGGGCCAGATCCGGCCCGCCATGTGGTTACGTCTGGAAACAGCTGCTCTGGAAACAGCGAAGGATCGGCCCATGGCACTTGGCCTGACCTAGGCCGATCGGGCACTGATCTACAACCTGGTTGTGTCCATCAAAGCCAGAAGGCACTTAGCCTTAGATCCATGGGGCAGCCCTGGAACCAGTGACGGTGCCCCCACCCCCTGGGCGTGCTTGCAGGAGGCGGCGAGTGGGTGGAGTCCGGCATCTCTGCTGGATGTCTTGCACTGGAGGCTGATTTTACCCAGCACTTATCACCTCTTATGCGCACACCCGGGGGGGCAGGGGTGGTGGGGCGGCCCCTCACTTTGTCCAGGGCTGCCTCGTGGAGCATGTTCTGGCTTTGATTGATGTAACCAGGTGGTAGATCAGCACCACACACCCCTCCCACCAGCACCTTCACGGCCCTCTCACTGACCTAGCCTCGCAGCCATGGCTCCATCCGTGTGAGATAGCAACGGCCAATGGCAGCATGGCCACTAGCAGTGATGGCAATCTCTCCCCCTCCCGTCATTCCTTTCTGAGCACGGAGGAAGGAAAGAGATGGGAATGAGAAGCAGGTGAGGAAGGAAGGAAGCAAGAAAGGAGATGGAAATGAGAAGAAGGGAGACAGTGAAGGAAGGAAAGAGGAAGAAAGGAAGGAGAGGCAACTTGGTTGGAGATGCCCTAGTTCATGCAGTTCTGCTTCAATCCTGGATCCTTTGAGACTTGGGCTCAAAGGCGAAAGCAATTTTGGATTCTCTTTTGTCACAGACAGGACTTTGTTGGCAATCCAAATTAACATTGGTATCCTTGTATTGTGATCTCTTAGGAAAGTATCCCCTTCTTGTATGTTGCAAACAGCCATTTCCACTGGGGGAAAACAGGACAAAGAAGAGTGGGGAAAAATGTTTCCTTTGCTATACTTCCAGTCTGAATTAGACCATGGCAGAGTCCCTATGGGAGAGCCCTTTTAAGGATTATGTATTAATAGAAAAGCAACTAACTTACCTCTGTTCCTAAATGCTAAAGCTGTTGCACATAAAAAACAGAGGAGCTCTGATTAACTATCACAGCCACCATTTTGACAGTTTTGCTGTACTGTTGTTTGTGGATGCCCCCACTAATTACAAGCATGGGATAAACTGAGCCTGGTTTGTTCTCAGTCCTTTAAATGGCCACAGACTACTAGCAAAAGTGGCATTTGATCACAAGGCAAGGAGGCATCGAGAAATATTTCCCCTTTTGCATTTGAGCATCCAAGAAGGGGCAAGAAAAGAGAAAGGGAAAGAGGAAAGACAAACAAAAAGAAGGAAAGAGGGGAAGGAAGAAGGAAGGAAAAAGAAAAAGGGGAAAGGAAGGAAGGAAGGAGATTATGACAGGGAGGGAGGGTCTGAGGGAAGTCCTGCCTTAGCACTTGGCCACGAGCAGCCTTGCTGCCCTTTCACCATCCCATGTCCCCTCCTTCTGACCTCTCCTGGTGGTCTCCCATCCTATCGCTGAGGATGCTTTGGTTACAAAGCCGGGTCTCCTTGTGGGGAGAGGGAGTGGGCCTCCCTCTGACCCATACATTTTGCCCTCCCGTACACACCATGAGCAACTTCACCGAGAAAGAGCCAATCAGCAGCAGCCTTGAGGAGGAGATAAATGCAGCTGGGTGCCCCTTGGGAAAGGCTGAACTGGGCAATTTTCCTCCACTGCCCAGGGCTCTGCATCACTGGGGGTCCTCCTCATGGCCTTAGAGGGACAGCAAGGCTCCTCTGGTGGATGTATGGTGGTCGCCCTGGTCTTGCCTTCCTCGGTTGGAGACAATAGATCCACCAGCCCCGACACGAGTGACATTGAGCTGGCCATGCCCACCCTCACTATGCCCACCCCACCCACGCCCCCAGCAATCAACCGCAACCCTGATGCGGCTCTCAGCGAAATCGAGTTTGACACCCCTAATATAGAGATACATGTAATATAGCTGCAGAATTAAAAATGGGATTTGGATGGGAGAGGGGTTTGAATTTAATTATTTTCATCTATGTCTTATTTTATTCCATTTATTAAATTTATTATGAATCAGAAGTTGTCTGATACTTCTGATATAAATTTCTTCTGTAGATAAGTGCTCTGGTGTGAAGTGCATTTAGATCAGAAAACTAGTACATGGAATCAATCTAATTATTTATCTACCTCACCTGCCTAGTGAATAGTTTGAAAAATACAGATGACATTAATCAAAAATATTAAACCATCTCCTCTAGCCTAGTCTCAGTATGAACAACCAATAGAAGTAATAATTTATATTAGAAGATGAGACATGATTGATAATGGTGCCCACTTTTTGCTGTGGAACCAGACAGAAAATGGAATAATTATTTTAAAGTAGTTATTATTTATTGTTAGTTAAAAATTCAATTTATTTATTTGTTTGTTCATTTATCAATAGCCACCCATCTCTCCCTCAAAAGGGACTGAATTAAATTCCTATTTTTTTTAAATTGGCAAGGATGCAAATATCAGTTAAATAACATTCATCATTATTACCTCAGTTTAATAATCCGTGGAGTTTTAATAACGACATGACACTTAACAATCACAGCAGAAATAAATGAACACGTAGGAATTATGGCATTTCCTGAAATACAAAATGTTCTACTTCTAAAGTACTGCAAACGTTATAATATGGGTAACAGAATAATTTGCAGAATGTTGACAAGAAATACTTAGCTGTATAAAAACAATTACATGGAAAGATCCTTAGTATATTTATAGGAATGCCTGTTGGAATCCGTGTATTCCAGCCTGTCTAGTGCATTATATATAAGTTAACTCAGAGTTCTTCCTCACAGCTGAATTAAAGTGCTAGCTACCCTAGCAGAGAACTATTCCAGTGTAAAAAATTTGCTCCTTCCCCCCCCCCCCCCAAAGCCTTTCCTGCCATTGCCATAGCACAATATCAGCAAAGGTGCTATACAAGGTACATTTGGGGTAGAGATTGGTGGATTCCCCTGGCTATGTTTTCCATCCATCCACTGAATGTTACCACCCAGTGAGAAAACCTTCACTTCCTATGGGTTGGGGCTGGCAGATAAGGTAAGTTTTGATAGATGGCTAGACAGATCAGTTCAGCTCCGGTCTGTCTTGGTCAAAGCTCACACTCACAAAAGTGCTTTGTGGGGGTACCTTAAAGCAGAGTTCCTCAATGTTCCCGGCTTTGTGGACCGGCGGAGGGGAGAGGGGATGGTTCCATGCAAGCACGCAGTCTGTTTGCGTGAGTGGCATGCATGCACACCTGCCACTCATGCAAATGGAGTGCGTGTGCACGCACTCACCTTCTGTTCCCACAAGTGAGGATGCATGTTTGTGTGTGCTCACCCACAGTTTCCATGGCCCAGTTGTAATCCCCTCATGACCCAGTAGTGGGCTGCGGCCCACAGACTGGGGACCCCTGTCTTAAAGAGAATGTTTTAAATCCTGTTCTAGAATAGCATTATTAGTTTAGAAGAGTGGTAAACTTACACTCAAAAATATTTTGACCGTACAGAAATGTTGCACCTGAAACTAGACCTAGAGCCAGCAATCTTTCTTCTGCTTTATTTGGCAGCCTTCCCTTCAGCATCACTCGTCTGCTGCAACATATTGCCTGCTTGAAGAGGAAGCACTACTTTAACTCTAGAAAAAAATAAGAACAACTCATGGAGTGAGATTAAGGCAATATCATGAAGAAAAAAAGATGTTCTTAGGGATCGGTCATGCTATGGCTAGATGCTAATGGGGAAAGCCCTCAGTATAGCACCACTGAAACAAAACAGTGTATTGAAATGTCAGAAGTCTGTACTTGCTCTGCAAGCATAGACAGAAAGCAGAAACTCAGTGTATATCTCTCATATCAAGTATACCTTTAGAATATTATTTATTTATTTAACAAATTTATAAACTGCCCAGGTCCCTCACAGAGGGCCTCTGGGTGGTATACAAATAAAATATTAAAACATAAAAGTGTATATAAAATTAAAAATAGGCAAAGATGATTAAAAATTCAATGTTAAAAGTAATTAAAAGAAGGCTATTCAAGCTTCTAACCAACCCCATAGCTGTATGAGCCCCAAGCAAGATTATCAACATTATTAACAGCTTTGATACATAGATGTAAGATTTTGACCATTCTATGTTTTAAAAGGCTCTTTCGTGCTTTAAAAATGTTCTTTGTACACTAGGTTGCCCTAGCCAAAGAACATTAAAAGTGCATATTACATTGGCATAAATATGTTTTTTAAAGGCAGAGAAAATAGAAAATGTTATGGAGAAGTGATCCCACTGCTCTGTGATTCAATAGTCAAGAATCAAACTAATAAGCAGCATCTGCACTTTTATCTCCACTTAAACAAAGCTTGTGGAAAGTCATGAAAGGGTTATTCGGCTACTTTAAAAATGGTACATTTCAGAAAGTATTTGATAAAGGTTAAAAAGCATGCTTTTACATTTCATGAATTCCAAGTTTTAGAATTATTCTTCCTAAAATCATCTTAAAATGTATGGTGATAATTGAACCCACAAGTCCCAAATTGCCGTTTTACAGATGACTTAGCCCTGGAGACCAGATTGATTTCCTAATCTTAAAAACTTAACATTGCAAAGGACTTTTTAGTTATCCTAGATATCTCACTAACATTTCTTTGCCAGAGTTGTAACAGAATACTCCGTGAGATAAAGAAACAGACACTGCTGATGTGTGTAAAACAAGTACAAAAAATGTTGCATGACAAACACAAGACACATGTAATGAATTTAAGGGAATGAGTTGATTAACTTGAATCTTTTCCCCCGTTTCTCAAACGGCAACCTCCTTATGTCGTTAGCCTACCTGAACATATCGGTATCAATTCTACCCACACAGAAGACTTTAGGGATTACACGAACCTTTACTTATTCTGATTTCGAATTCGGAGACACCTCCTTTTGAGTGGTGGCTCTAGATCCTCGGGCCCTGTGCTGAGACTTGGCGTTGAAATAATGCAGGGTCCAATTGCAGTCTTTTCCGCTGGTCTGGGTACAGGCTGGATGACGCAGCCTGCTTTGGGTAGCATCCGCAAAGCATATGCATGATCCTCATCAGCCGGATTGTTAAGGTTGGGGTCTTGTTTGTCTCCCCCAAACAGAGGTTCTTCCCCTGTCTTCTTACCAGACTCTCCTTCCCGGCGACAGTTTGACGTACAGTTATTCTCCTTAACGGATTCCAGCTCACTCACTGGCAGCTCCTCCAGCAAACAAGTTTGAAGCTGAGTCTTTTTTTGCTCTTGGGGTGTTTCGGAGTTCTTAGAAATCTCGGGTCCTTTTGTGCCATTCACAATGACATTGCAGGCTGCAGCTGCAGCATTTTCTGGAGTGCCTGAGGCAGCGGGGAGGGAGCCGCAGTGAGGTGGATCACCACCAGGTAATGTCTTTGTTTCAGTGGGGCTGCAATTTTTTCTGCAGTCACTGCAGTTCTTTTTATCTGAGCTACCCAAAGTCAGATTTACAACACTGCTAGCTTCGTGTTCAACTTTGACTTCAGCGTACAAAGCCCTGTGGATAACATTGTGTAGTCTAGACCTGTGACCTACAGTTAAGTCTATCACACCATCCTGTGGTCCCTGTAGTACTGTAGGAAAACCAAACTTGTTGTTCACAGGACTACTTGGTCTCACAGTCAAATCAACAACTTCACCTTTACTGTGCTGCTGATGCACTTGCGTTTGATTTAAGGACTGGCCTGAGCAGCTTGGTGAGGAATCAGAAGGCTTAGAAGGGCCTTGTTTAGAATTCCTGGTGGACACAGAATTACTTGTTGGCTTAGCCCCTGTTGTGTCACTGGGTGTATTTGGAATGAAGCTTTCTCCATTGCTCGAGAAGCCATTTGGGGGCTTGGAATCATTGATGTGAGGAATGGGGATTGGGATTGGGATTGGGACAGGAAGTGGAACGATAACAGGATATGGCACTAAGAGGGTTGGTGGTGGCACTAATGGGGCAAGAGATGGCAAACCAAAGTTCATCATCTGTGGCATGGGCATGGGACCATTTGGCATCATGCTTACAGGAGGGAAAGGCAGGCTGGGCAAAGGAACTCCTGGAGGTGGAGGGGGTAGTAAGCCTGGAGGATTTCCAGGCATGGTTGGAGTTGTTGGAGGATGGATATGAGGGGACAACATTGGCCTATGCATTGGGCTGGAAGTGGGTCCCATATTTCTAGGACCACCTGGTGGTGGGCCAATTCCAGGAATCATTGGATTGGACAGAGGGCTATTTGGATTTGATGCATGATGAGGCGGCCCTCGAATAAACGGTGGACGAATCTGCTGCAGAATTTGCTGTTCCATGAATATGGGCAAGGGAACTGGTCCACGGTTTGTCATCACCATGGGTGGACTTCGAGGTGGGACACCAATTGGAGGCACAATACCAGCAGGTGGCTGAACAGAAACTGGTGGAATATTTGGATTCTCATTGAGTTTGGGAACCGGTGTTGGGATTTTAGTGACAGAGCAGTTGGCAATATCAGACGGAGAGGCAGTGGTAGATGTGGATGGTCCAGGACCTTGAATTTGGCCAGCTGCAGACACTGGGGATGGGGCCTTTCTCCGAGCATCTGCTAGCGATATATTCCAAGAATCTGGAGTCAGCAGCTGCACCCCAGTGCCTTCTGCTTTATTTTCTACTGGAGGATGTAATGTGCTGCAGAGTCCAGCTGGAAGATTGGCCTGTGTCTCTTTGTAGAAAATGTCCATTTTGTACTGATTGAGACATTTTGCACTGCAGAATTGAAGCCTTCTTTCCCCGTCCCCAAAATCCAGATACTCTTTTGTGTGTCTTATGTGCTTACACCAGTCACACACCTACAACACAGTAACAAAATCAAAACAGGTAAGAAAAAAGAGATTTCTTTTTTATAATGTCATTTGCATTAAAAGTATTTTTTTACTTTTGATAACTGATTTTTAAACATCTGAATTATTCAGAAAAAATATATTTCATGAAACTTGCATGCCATGACACCAAAATATAGTTGATCTGTATATACCTACTTACCTACCTACCTATCTAGATATAGATAGATAGATAGATATAGATATATAGATATACACAGACACACATGCCTTCACACAACTTACTTTTATAATATTTAATCTAGTTGTCACCTACAGTGCTGAAAACTTTTAAAAAATGAAAATAATAGTACTGTGCAAGTATGTCTGTTTATATCTACATTCACATCTAAATGATGTTCTGGAAAAGGAACAGGATTGTAAAAAGATTTTTAAAAATCCTTAAATTAAAGCATAAGGTAGTATATTTAGTAGGACTGAAGTACTGCTAAATATAAAGTCAATCAGAAAATCCTCACATCAGATTTTATCTCTGCCATGAACTAAGAAAAAAACTACCCTATATTGGTTTGTTCTAAGGGAACTATTCCATTCAAGAGGATTTAATGCTTATTAACTACAAGCAGGATTGCAGGCTCAGTGTTTCTCCCCACATCTACAACATAGATGTAATAACACATGCGATTTTTGTTTGGACTTACCCTACTTCTTCAAAAATATTAAAAGTATTAAATAAAATGAGCTGGAAGTAAATTTCATCGAGCATACTGAGACTTTTGAGTAAACATGTATAGAATTGTACTTTGAAACGTCATATAAATTTGGAGATTTTATTATAAAGCAGTCAGAGTCCAATATAACATTAAGAAGTTTAAGATCAGTGACTATAATAGGCCTTGGTTCAGATTATGGTATTTATGCATAAGCACAATTGAATTGGTCATGTGGATTTTGACTGACAAATTGAACTCTAGTTATAAAAATAAGATCAAGGAACACTTGGAAAAAGACCCCATGAGTTTTGAAAACTGAAAACAACTCATCTATGGTACAAGAATGCAACCTGACATTTTAAATTACTAAAGTGCCATAAATAACAACGGTGGGATAGTATTACATTATATCCAAAAAAGCAAAATTATCATATAGCATTAAATTTGAGTTCTAATTATGAAGTAGAAAATAATAATATAACCTGGATGAATTTCAAGTATTCAGAAACTGTGATATTTTAACAAGCTGCAAAGATTATCCAAGCTGTTTGCCCATGCTTTTTCAACTAGTCATTTTTGAATATACTTTTGGCAGACAAAAATTGACATAACCAATTTTCAAAAAATAAGACAAAACCTCTTATTATGATGATAGTCTTTCTGTACCAAATACAAGTTACTTTCTGTCCTACTATTTTGTGGGGTAAAGATACTGCCAATTTTTTTTAAAAAAAATAAATTATGGTTCCAGAACTAATTAAGCTGTGAAAGGTTTTCCCAGTTGTAAACCACTAGAAACCAAAGTTCAAAAAATTTAGACATTCTAGGTTTCGGAATCCATTACTTCAGAGAAATTATTATGATTTCATTAACACATTAATACTGCAACACCAACAGCTCTCACAGATGGCAGAGACATGATCTACAATGCAAATATGACTCTTGTTTGCACAAATGCCTTTTCCTTCATATGGCATTTTAAACAAGAATTAAAATGAATAATCTTTCCACAGCTATAAACAGATCAACAGATGTCAGAATTTTCTGTGCCTTTTTTTTTTTTTTTTTACAGATTTTATACACAGTGACAGTCTCGGTTTTTGTCATTTATTCCATTCTAATAATATTACAAAGATTTTTTTCATGATATGTATGATACCTATATTGAAATAAAAGTACAAGAATGCACTGTCTTTTGTACAGTATTCAGAACTGGAAAATCTTATCTTAAACATACACAAAATGATGCCATAACAAAATGATAGTATTAAAGTAAATAATGTAGATTTAATAATCATTTGCCATATAAACAAATTGAAAACAACATATGCTGGGCATTTGACTAGTCACATTCAATTCTTGATTTTTCAGTGATAACACTTAAATTGTTTAAAGCTTGCACATTTGTTGAGCATTTCACTGGCATTTCAATAAAAGCCAGAAAATAACCCATATGAATCAAGCCTTTTTTAATTAATTTAGTTCAATGGGCATTTATCATATACTTCCTCATCCAGGGTGGTTACTGATGTTTACTCCTTGTAACAAATCACAATTTTCTAGCATGTGTCTCTTTTGAATCAGTTTATTGCAGTGTGTATGAAAACACATCTGAGCAATTGGTGGCACCAAGAACAAGTAACTCCTTAGTTTAAATTATCTTGATGTTACAGGAGACAAACGGGCTCAGACCTCAATCTCATGTGAATTAGTTTACTACAACATTTGCAATTATTTTTCCATGTTTTGTTGCTTGAAGAACTGTGTTCCCAAACCTATTCTTTTTCGGCTGCCAATTAAAGCAGTTTTACAGTTGGCCAGCCACTTTTGAGAGTCCAATGCTTTTTTGGTTAATTTCACCTCAAGATTTTTCCATATTCACAGTGAATCCAGTCAATTTGCCCCTCTTGGTTTGCTGTTCTGAGGCTCACACTTTAACATAAAATCTAAGTGCTCTTCACTCAATTTTAGAGCAAACTTTTTTTGGAAATTTTTGCCCAATATTTTTATATATAGAGATCAGAGGGAGGGAGAGTGGCGGGACATTTATTTAATGGGGATGGAGGTATTCAGAAATCTCACTGATTCTAGGAGAAAAGGAAAGTTTAGGAACTATTAAAACTTATTAATTTATATGTAAAATAAGGAGTGGCAATAGTTTAGAACACACAAAATGCTTTCATTTACACTTTCTGTAAAGAAATGATTTAAAAGGTAGAAAAAGCAAGTGGAGGCAAAACAAACTCTGGATAGGAAGACTAGAAAAATAATGATAATGAATCATATCCTTTATCCACACAGCAATGTTGACAAACCCTACTTACCAAGGAGCATAGGTGGGAATGGAAAGTTGCAACTATACCATACAGTTGAAGAAGACAAAAAGGATTGGAAGGACAACGAAGAAGATGCACTGAAGCTAGTACACCATGAAGGCTTACTGAATACAGGAGAGACTAAACTGGTCGACAAGAAAGGCCAGAAGAATGGAAAAGAGACACAGCAAGGCAAAATATTACATGGCCAGTGCAATACACACACACACACACACACACACACACACACACACACACATAAGCAAACACACAAAACCTAGCAGGAGAAGCAGATAACAACAAGATCTGGCAATAGCTAAGAGAAGGAAAGATTAAGAAAGAAACAGAGGGACTAATTCTGCCTGCACAAGACCAAAGCTTCAGAACAAATACATACAACGCCAGAATTGAGATGACAGCAACAGATAGCAAATGCCGCCTCTGCAAAGAAGTTAAAGAAATAGTGAATTGCATAGCTAGCTACTGCAAGAAGATCACACAGACTGACTACAAGCAATGGCATGACAAAATAGCAACAATGGTACATTGGAATATTTGCAAGAAATACCATTTGCCTGCAAGGAAGAACTGGACCACAAAATAGACAAAGTCTATAAAAATGAAGAAGCTAAAGTGCTCTGGGATTTTAGAATTCAAACAGAAAGCACCTGCCACATAACACTCCAGACTGAACAATTTTTGATAAGAGAAACAAAACAATCTGAATAGTGGATGTTGCAATACTTGGAGATAAAACTGGATAAAAAAATACAAAGACCTACAAAGAGAATGATTATGGCAAAAATATAAAACCTTCAAAAATAGTTGCAATAATAATAGGCGCCTTGGATGCAGTCCCAAAATATCTGGATCACCACTTGAACACTATCAGCATTAATAAAATTATTCTCAGACAAATGCAAAAGGCAGCTTTACTTGGGACAGGTTACATCTTGCAATGATACCTTTTAACATCTTCAAACAACATCTGCCTATTCCAGGTCCTAGGGAAGGACTTGATAGATGGATAAAAATATGAAATCAAATCTAAATATCTCGCTGAGTTGTGATCAACCATAGTAATGGAGCCAAAATTGAAAAACCATCAGATGATACAAAGTGCAGATTGTGGAAAGAAGCAGAAGAAACAGTACTGTAGTTCATAGATGCAGCTCGTGTAACAAGATTGCACAAACTGATGATAAACAATGACATTACACATTTGCCAAAATAATTCACTGGAACATCTGTAAAAAGTATCATGTGCCAGTAATGAAATATTGGTGGAACATAGAGTTGAAAAAGTAATCGAAAACGAACAAGCTAAAATATGATGGGATTTTTTTAATACAAACTGATAACATTTGGCACATAATACACCAGATTTAACTATGGTTGAAAAGAAGAAACTGTGGATAATTAATGTGGCAATACCAAAAGAATTGGAGAAGATCACAAGGTATCAAGATCTGAAAATCGAAGGTGAAAGTTTATGGCATAAACCAGCCATGGTGGTCCCAGTGATTATCAGCACACTGGGTATCATACCAAAAACTCTTGGATGGCAAATCTGTGTATTGACAAAATTTCCATCTGTCAGTTAGAAAAGGCCAGACTGCTTGGATCCACACATATACCATGCTGATACATTATGACATCCTAAGTTCTGAGAAGAACTTGATGCATATGAAGGCAAATATCAGCTAGTGAACTGCAGCTATGATGTCATATTATTATGTATATAATAATAATAATGACAAATTCACCATCAGTCAGTTGCAAAAGGCAGATTTACTTAGAACAGCTTATATCCTGCAACAATACCTCTAACACCATTAAACATCCAGATGTTTACCTACCCCAGGATCTTAGGAAGGAATTGATAGGCAGACAAAAATGTCAAATCCAGTCTGAACATCTGGCTGACTGTGCGACTAACAGTAATAAGGAAAAACAATAAGGAACTAACTAATAAGGAAAA